CGTTGAGAACTCTAAAAAAGTGATATTCGATCCGTTTGATCTGCCAAGTGATGTTAGAACGCTTGGTAGAATTGTGTATTCTGCTCATGGTGGTGAAGTCGCTGTTGCCTTCCTGCATGGTGGAGTGCACATTTTTTCCGGTCCAAACTTTGCTCCTGTAGATAACTACCAGATCAATGTTGGACCAGCAATAGCTGCACCTGCATTTTCTTCTACCAGTTGCTGCTCAGCTTCTGTTTGGCATGACACAAGCAAGGATTGCACAATACTGAAGATCATTCGGGTTCTACCTCCTGCTGTCCCAAGTAGTCAAGTGAAGGCTAAATCAGCAACTTGGGAACGTGCAATTGCAGAAAGGTAATTACATCGGTTCAATTTTGTGGTTTTAAGCTCCTTCGTCTCTGATTTTTGCAGATCACCTAATCTATGATAAGCACTTGATGGTTCTGTTTTTGTCACAGCAGGTTTTGGTGGAGCCTTTTGGTAGGTGTTGATTGGTGGGATGCTGTTGGATGTACACAAAGTGCTGCCGAGGATGGCATTGGTAAGATATTTGGGTTTTCAGCAAGTCTGTGACTGATAAAATGTTATTGTTTAATGCATAGCTGGAAAATTCTTCGCTGAGATGCATGGAAAATCTGATTATACAGCTCAGTCTGAACATATCTTTTGTTACTAATGATGCTTTTTTCTTCTTTCAGTATCACTCAACAGTGTCATTGCGGTTTTGGATGCGGATTTTCACTCTCTTCCCTCTGTACAGCATCGTCAACAGTATGGTCCGGTATGTTCCTCTTGTCTTTGTTTCTTTCAAAATAGTCTCATTTTTTGTATAGACTGCTATAGCGAGAATATTAGTCCTTTAGAGTTTCTATAAGAGCAGTATTTTGCCCTTGATCATTGGCACCACAAACATGTTGCTTTATTTGTTATAACATTTATTAATTGTTTAGTTGCAATTCTGGGAATATCAGCAGCAAAAGTTTTAGTGTTTTACTAACTATACCAATGAACACTAATTGATCATTACCTACATATTCATGCATTTCTCTATTTGCTTTCTCTTCTACTTGTGTGTAGTTTTGGATGATCAACAATGAGAAATACGCATGTTTGATAAAACTGCATATTTGGTACTTAAGATGTGCTTAACTCGTACTTCATCCATTTGTATACTTTTCTTGCAGAGCCTTGACAGGATAAAATGTAGGCTATTGGAAGGTACAAATGCTCAGGAGGTTAGGGCCATGGTTCTTGATATGCAAGCTAGATTACTGCTTGATATGCTCGGCAAAGGCATTGAATCGGCGTTGATAAATCCTTCTGCACTAGTACCTGAACCCTGGCAGGCATCTGGTGAGACATTATCTGGTATTGATCCTGAAGCTATGGCTGTTGAACCAAGCCTTGTTCCAAGCATACAGGTTTGTTGAAGCCCTGCCCTGACATTTCTACCATTTTGGTTTTTGTGTGTGTATTTGTAAAATCTTGAACGAAGCCCCCAACTCATGTTGTGCTAGTGAACAACGCAATCCAGCACAACATGTTCAGTTGAATGTGTCTCTTACTTCCATCAAGCTTATTGTAGTTGGTCATGTCATTCAATGTCTGTCTTACCTCCATCAAGCTTAGGCCAAGAAGCTTTTTTACAATGTGAAGTGCTTGATCGTAGGTCAATGTCTTTCGTCACTTACTGTTGTTTTCCTCGGTCCTTTATGGACATTTCAATGTAGCGTCCCCCCCCCCCCCCCCCTCCCTTGGGAACTCACATCATGCCTTGATGCAGGCATATGTGGATGCAATTCTTGATTTAGCATCACATTTCATCACACGTTTGCGCCGCTATGCAAGTTTCTGTCGCACATTAGCTACACATGCTGTTACTGCAGGCGCAGGCACAGGCAGCAATAGGAATATTGTAACTAGTCCTACTCCGAGTTCTGCATCCCAGGCAACAACTCAGGGTCAGTATAAACTCCAAACCATAGTACATGCTGAAAATTGTTGGTTAAACTGATTGCACAATCGCGTGTTGAGAGTCTTGATGATCTAACTAATTTATCTATTACTGCATGAATGAGTTTTCTACTTTTCTGTACACACCGCAGTAAGCTTGAAGTTCTCAATTATTACCATAATAATAAGTACTTCTCCTGGAAACTTTGTGCCCTGCTATGTATAAGATTGTACGATCTATGTTTCTTTGTGACTATTTTTCCTTTTTCTTTCAAAGATTTTTTCACTCATTCGCCTCAGCTGATAAAATAGGGATTTTGGTTTGATTAGCAGCCTGTAAACATGCTCTTCTTCAAGTTGCTGTATACGGTACTTATATTCTAACAGTTCAAAATTACTTCCAGGTGGTCAAACTGGTACAACAAATTCAACTGGAAGCACTCAGGTGCAGGCCTGGGTGCAAGGTGCTATTGCTAAGATTAGTAACACAACAGATGGTGTGCCTAGTTCGACTCCAAACCCTATCAGCGGTCCAGCTCCCTTTATGCCCATAAGCATTAACACCGGGACATTCCCTGGAACACCAGCTGTTCGGCTAATTGGAGACTGCCATTTTGTTCATAGATTATGCCAGCTTCTGCTCTTCTGTTTCTTCTTTCGCCGAACACAGCTTCCTCGCTTTATTGGTGTGTCACAGAGAAGTAATGATTCCAGTACACAAAAACCTCAGCCGCCTGGTGTCCCAGCTAGTAAGGTTGAGGAAACCAATTCTGCTTCCTCAAAACCAGCAGTGAATGCTATGGTTAGATCAGACGAAGGCCCAGCAGTAGCTCGAAGCGGTCAGCTCGTGCCTGGAGCCAAAGGAGTTGAAGATGGACCTGCTGGTCGCTCAAGATTAGGTTGTGGCAATGCTGGTCAGGGATACACCTTTGAAGAGGTATGTTGGGAGCTAGCTTTTGGTATTGTTCTAGTCTTTCGCAGGAGTCATGATCCTGGTAAACTAGTGGCGTACTTGTCATTTGTGATTAAACTGTCTTGCCACAGGTTGTAGAAGCATCACTTCTTGTTTTTGTCTCAGGTTAAGGTTCTATTTCTCATTCTCATGGATCTTTGTCGAAGAACAGCAGCACTAGCACATCCATTGCCGGTTTCACAGGTGGGAAGTAACAACATCCAGGTGCGGCTCCATTATATCGATGGCAATTATACTGTCTTGCCCGAGGTTGTAGAAGCATCTCTTGGCCCACATATGCAGGTAATACCTATTACCTATTAAGTTTACAGTTTGTCATTTCACTTGACCAAATAATCTGTCATATAGCGATTGAATTGAGCTTCTCTCTGAATGCATTTGTGCTCTTTCTTGCTTGTAGAATATGCCGAGGCCTAGAGGTGCTGATGCTGCTGGCCTCTTATTACGCGAGTTGGAACTTCACCCACCATCTGAAGAGTGGCACAGGCGTAATATGTTTGGTGGTCCATGGTCCGATCCAGAGGATTTGAATTCACCTGAGGAAACACCCAAGCTCGGCAGCTCTCCCGATTTGTTATTAGGTTTCAGCTCATTAGAGAATTGTGATGTGCATTACGGGGCAAACGGCCTGTGGCCTAAGAGGCGTAGATTATCGGAGAGAGATGCTGCCTTTGGCTTGAACACATCAGTTGGCCTAGGAGCTTATCTTGGGATAATGGGATCACGAAGAGACGTGGTTACTGCTCTTTGGAAGACTGGTCTTGAAGGCGTTTGGTATAAGGTGATTCTTCTTTTTTTTTTCTTTTTCCTTCTCCCCAAATTTCTCCTACATCCCTTCCATGTTGACTGCCCGCTAGCAATTGGATACTTGGGTGCCTATTTATTTTAGCTTCGGCTGCCTGTGCTGCTGTATTTTCTGCTCGAGATAAAAGGCTACTGTTTCTTATCAAAACTCATGCTGTGTTGTATTCTGATTGCAGTGCATACGATGTTTGAGACAGACTTCGGCCTTTACTTCACCGAGTGCCATGAACCCAGCTAATCCAATTGATCGAGAAACGTGGTGGATCAGTCGTTGGGCATATGGCTGTCCAATGTGCGGGGGTACATGGGTCCGGGTTGTGTAGTTTGAGGTCATCTTTTCACCCGCAGGCATTGTTCTGGTTGTTTGCTCAAAATCACAGAGGTTTCCAGTTTAACCAAATCTAGGCATATCAAGAGAACCGTGCTGGTGTGTTGTTTACATCCACTCTTCTTAACTTACAGTCAGCTTCCCTGGAGGCAGCTGTGGATCTAACCCAGATTCTCCGGTCATTTGTATCTGTATATACGTTTTTCGTTTCGTATCTGTACTAGAAGAAATCTGTGATGAATGCTTCTAGTCTTAACCGTCCATTCTCCAGGTGACTAGGGTCTTTCGTAAACTGTATGGTTTTGTAATGCAACTACATAGATCCTGTAGAAATTAGAGGGTGTGATGGATATTAGTAAGAGAGTTCTTGAAAAGTTCTTATGCGCTTAGCAACTATGTTGTCCCTGTTTCTCGAAACTGCATGGTTTATCCTATAACACTTGCTGCTATCAGTTGATGAAAGTCGGAATAGATCATCCACATTTTAGTTCAACAAAATCTCCGCAGCAATCTTAGTGGCATTGAATGGCAAACCCGTCTTTGCGTTCTTTACTCTTTACCAATACCACTCGTGAAATGTTTAGAGCAAGTTCTTGTCTCCCTGCGCTGCGATAATACGTGATACAATTTGGAATCAAGAAAACAGTGTTCCTCTTGTTTCCCAGGCTTTAAATTCAGATTCTGTGGTAGTAATGGGCCAGGCTTTAAATTCAAAGATTGGGCTTTCCTGACTGCGGCTGTTGGTGCCAAAACGGGCCATGAACCGAAAGGATGAGAAACCGAACCGAATATCGGAATCAGAGAACACGGAAGTGCGAGGAGTTCTCCGACGACTACTACTCTTTCATTTCGTCTTTTGCTTCTCAGCTGTTCATCAAATCCCATTTCTCCAGCTAGCTCCGACCGAATTAAGCGAACGATCGGCCGCTGGTAGTAATCATGAGCACGGCGACGCACTCGCTCGCGTTCCGGGTGATGCGCCTTTGCCGGCCTTCTCTCCACGTGGACACCCCTCTCCGCATCGATCCGGCCGATCTCCTCGTCGGCGAGGACATCTTCGACGATCCAGCCGCCGCCTCTCAGCTTCCTCCCCTCCTCGACAGCCTCGTACCGAACTCCAAGGATTCCGCCGATCTCAGCTATGGGAACAGATTTCTGCTTAGCCACCCCTTCGATTCCTTCGGCCACTCTGGCCTCCTCGTCCTTCCTCAAGCCTTCGGGTAGGTATCTATCCTCTCGTTCTCACTAATGTCTTCGCACATCGCCATTACTGTTTCTGCTCAATTGAATCGGCGTCGATTTGTTTTCTTAGGGCGATATATTTGGGGGAGACGTTCTGCAGCTACATAAGCATCAATAATAGTTCTAGCTCCGAAGCTAGGGATGTGATCATTAAGGTAAATTGGTGCAAGTCGAATTGCTGCAATTATTCGTATGCAGATAGATGGATATGACTTAGTGGTTGAATGTAGGCAGAAATCCAAACGGAGAGGCAAAGGATCTTGTTGCTAGATACTTCTAAGACGCCGGTGGAATCGATCCGTGCTAGTGGTCGTTATGACTTCATCGTGGAGCACGATGTGAAGGAACTTGGACCTCATACGTAAGATTGCTTGGATCTTTCTGTTGGTTTTACTTGTTTCTTGCTGTTTTCACTATGTTTTTAATGGGTGGAAGTAATTTGGTGGTGGCGAATGTTAGGTTGGTGTGCACTGCCTTGTATAGTGATGGTGATGGTGAACGCAAGTATCTACCACAGTACTTCAAATTTATCGTTGCCAATCCACTTTCGGTTAGGACGAAGGTATGTAGCTAGTGGTACTTTGTTTGGCTCCGATTTTTGTGTTCTATGGATTCATTTCTGTTTCTGAGTAGCAAGTGCTGTGATAAACACAATCGTCTTTCTGGCTTTTGCAGGTGCGCATTGTCAAGGTATGATCCTCTTTCTATACCTTCACCTGGCCTTAATTACGCAAGAAGTGTCTTCCATATTAGGATTCTGATGTTTGTAAGAATGGAATGATAAGGTGGTTGCTTGAAACAATAAACAGAACTGGTTTTTCCATTTCCGGCACATGATTTTTCTATGATTGGCCGAGTCTTCCTTTTCAGGAAAATACATATCTAGAGGCATGCATTGAGAATCACACAAAAGCTAACCTTTACATGGACCAAGTTGAGTTTGAACCAGCTCAGCACTGGACAGCAAAAGTACTAAAAGCTGAAGAAGAGTTGACTGGCAATGATACAGCGTCCAGGTCTGCATTCAGTCACGTTTCTTTAAGCTTAAATAGCATAGAACTTATTTGAAGGCATCTCAATATCATTTTTGGTGTATTGAATGGTTGTTTGTTGTCTTCATGTTCTAAATTGTTGCCGATCATATACCTGACAGGACAGTATTAAAACCACCTGTGCTCATAAGATCTGGTGGAGGAATCCACAACTATCTGTACCACTTAAAAGTAGCTTCACAAGACCCCATAAGTGGTAATGTTCTCGGTAAGCTTCAGATTACATGGCGAACCAATTTAGGGGAACCAGGTCGCCTGCAGACACAGCAAATTCTTGGCAATGTAAGCGTTCTGATTATCAACCGGGACCTATATAGAATCGATATAATCTTTTTTGTCCTGATTGTCAATGCATAATTTACACTGTTGCTCATTTACACTGTTTGATATTTGATTTCGTGGGGCATTAGTTTGTAAGCATAGTGGCTGTAAATTAAATTTCTTCTATTAATTCTGAAAGTGTGTCATCCATGATTACACTATTACGTTAATTCAGTTGATACTCTGCATACTGTAGAAGACATGGAATCCAATTCATTTCTGAACAGTTGGGGTTTTGTTTTCCATGTAGCCTGTCACCCCCAAGGAGATTGAGTTGCGAATCCTGGAGATTCCATCTGTTATCAACTTGGATAGACCTTTCTCGGTAACTTGTTCTCTCTCTGCAAACTTTTGTGAGCTAGATTTTGCTTTCATTCCCTTGATGCCTTCATTTTTTTCAGTCAGTGTTACTGCTTGGATTCATTTCTGGTTAGCAGTACCATGATGAAGGAAGGAGCTAACTTACTCAATCAATGGCTGCAGGTACATCTGAATCTAGCAAATCAGACAGAGAGGGCATTAGGCCCATTTGAAGTATGGCTTTCACAGAGTAGTCCATTAGGCGAGAAGGCTGTCATGATTAATGGCCTTCAGAAAATGGTACTTGCTTTATTCGTTTTTCGGAGTTCAAAAATCTTGTGTTTTATGTTTTAGTGTAGCTCTATTCCCTCTAGTCCGTTTCCAATATCGCCTATCTAAATGATACATGTCTTACAGGAATTACCGAAGTTGGAGGCATACGCAACCACAGATTTCCACTTGGTAGCAATACTATATCTGGCCATAGATTCCCAGCCTTTATTTTCCAATATAAGCTATTATGTCATCTGAAACCAATCTTGTTAAACCTCTTTGGTCCTTGCAGAATCTGATTGCTACAAAACTTGGGGTCCAGAGAATTACAGGCATCACAGTGTTAAACAAGGCCGACAAGACCGCTTATGATCCGTTGCCTGATTTTGAGGCAAGTCTATACCACCACATTCAATTAATTATCTTTCAAGAATCAGAATCCATTGGGGGGAAGAACATATTTTTGCCAAACTACTGGTCGTCCTCCCATTAAACCCCTTTTTCAACTGCAGATTTTTGTGGATGTTGATTGATTCATTCAGTCAGGCTCAGATCCAAGTTCAGCTTGCAGATACCCACTCAGTAACGCCCTTGTCCTTCTGTGATATAAGACTGGTATAGTTTTATAATGTCCAGTTGATCCATTGTTTCTGAGAAATCCTTCTCGTGCTGGCACTGACCTGTCGTAGACAGCTTCACACTCCATTACTCTGTTGATTCGCAATGGGAATTTCGTAGGGAAGAGCCGGTTAAGTGCCTGTCTGTAGATGTTAGTTTCATAACTCGTGCACAATCGTTTACTTTTCTTAGGTATTGTAGTTCATTCCTAAGTTTGTAGAAGCCATTACTTTGAGTGAATTTCATGTGTAACTGTTTTGTTTTCAAGATCGGTGCAAGTGAGGGGTGAATCGGGTATTCGGGTTTCGGTTTTGAGAGAGATGCTGCAGGCGAACATAGAACTTTAGCTGTTACGGTGGATGATGAATCATGTCTCCAGTTGGGACTTGGAGCACAACATTTCACTGCCAGCCTAAACATTTCAATGCTAGCCCATCTTAAACGAAGAGTTCATTATGTGGCTAGCCATTTGCGCAATCGTCTGTGAATATGTCATACGTGTTACTGCATTCGTCGATGAATATGCTATAGTTACTACTGCATCCCGAGTCTAAGAAAGTTGAATCATTCAAATAGAACCATAAAACATATTTACATTATACAGGGACGAAGTCCCATTTCTTTTTCCCAGGAAAGCATCTGAAACCCAAGACTCATATCTAGAACAGAACATCAGCAGCAGCAGCAGAAGAAAAAAACAAGAAAAAAAACAGCATTCAAAGTTAGATCTCAGTGTTTAAGTCGAGTCACGTCGAAGAAACGACTGTTCAGGCTTGTGAACCGCCCAGAGCCCAGTTGGCCTCGCTTCCGACGCGAGGCATTGTGTTGGCATTAGCAGCTCTGGACTGAACGTCGACCTTGAAATCAGCTCCGCACATGACTCCTTCACTGTCGATTCTCGGCATGGCTCTGATCTGACTCCATGGATGCTCGAAGCTCGTCAGCCCTTCTCCGCTCTCCAACATGAACCCCGCCGGGAACTGAGCAAACGACTTCCCGCAGCTCCCCTTTATCCCGTCCAAGCTGTCGGTAATCACAACCGAGCCATCTGCTGCTATTCCCCAGTACAGCCCCACTCCTTCACTGGCTCCCTGCAAATCACAAGATATAAAAAAAGGAAAGAAAGATGGAACTCAATACATTTACTTTCAGGCGAGAGATCGATTGACAGAAATGTGATGGTATTCAGTAGCAGCAGAATTACCCGAGCAGCGAAGACTCGGCCCGACTTGGAGTCGTAGAGGACGAATCCGAATTCGCCCTCGAGGTCCTTGAGAACCTTGTGAGCAGGGTAAGGGCCGCGATCGCGAAGGGTCAGGTACGCCTGGATCACGAACATTGCCTCGTTGGTGCCCTTGGAGAGGCCGTACTGCTTGTTCAAGCTGCAGAGGTTGATCAAGCTCCCAGTGAAAACACAGTAGACGTCGTTCGCTCCGCAGAACACTCTGTAGGCAACGAATTAAGCATTTTTTCCGCCGATTAGATCAAACCGAGCTTTTCAATCGAGAAGAAAGGAGAAGGGGGAGAAAAAAGAACGAACCTCTGGTGAGCGCCGAGGGAGCTGCGGCGTGGGGCGCAAGCGAGCAGGGCATTGTCGCGGAACTTGATCGAGAAGGAGTCGGCAGGGTTGGAGGAGAGGAATTCGTCCACGATCTGGTGAGGGAGCTTCGGCGGTGGTCGTGGGGAGGAAGAAGAAGAGTAGGAATGGTAAGCTGGGCTGTTGAGCTCCTGAGGTGGATTCACCACGCCTTTCTTGAAGATGGCCAACATTTTCACTTCGACTGCGAGTTTTCCGAGGAACCAACACAGGGTGGGAGGAAAGGGAAGGATTGATTTTGATGAGAAGGTTGAAGACGATGATGAAATGCGATTGTGCTCAATCTGGGGGAGAAAGGTAGTGATATTTATAAATGTCATATGATGACGTGGAAGTCTTATCCGAATCCTTGGATGTTAGTACACTTTTTAAATCAGATTTTTCTTATCCTAATCATATTCATATTCCTCTAAAATTCAGATTTAAATACATTCATGATTCAACGATCTATACTCTGTTAATTTGGAAAATAAGTAATGAATAATGCTTGAGAGAAAAGCACGAAGACGTGACTAGTATCTATGATGAATTGATGATAGACACCTTATCCGAATGCAACAAATTTAAAAGTTGACAGTGATCCGAGTCAGCGAATAATAACATGACAGCTCGTGATATGTGGGTCCCACGCTTTTGGCTTGGGACAGTTGCCACGTCCTTATACGCTGTCAACCAGTCAACGGAACTATTCTCTGTTGCCGCGCACTTTTCCTCCGTGAGCGGGCTGCCGACCTACTGGGCTTTCTGTTTTGGGCTAGACTAGACAATGATGGAAGTGCAATTGAAGTAGTGGGCCGTGAAAGTATTTTGGGTGGGCTCAAAGAGGGTAGATTTCCCACTGGGTTAGACGGGGAGTTCAGTTGGAACATGGGATTTAGTTAGCTTATGTTAAACTTCTTTGAATATCTTAAGATAAAAACATCCGTTGTTATTTTTAGGGCAATGTCTATTTTTTACCCAAACTTTTTCAAAATTCTTTTATTTTATCCAAACCTATTGAATTCCTAATAATTATCCAAACGTTAACTCTCCGTCAACTTTTCTGTTAGTAATGCTGACTAAGCATGACCATAATGAGTTGGCTTACCACGTGGCAGTCAGAATACTATAATTTACTATTTTTAATAAAAAAATTAATAAAAACAACACACAAAAAAAAAAAAACAGAAAAGGATCCCACCCCATTTGCAGCGAACCCTCCACCCCCCCCCCTCTCTTCTTCCTTCGCTGTTGAATTTAATCCTCTCGCTCATCCCGCTTGGAACTCCCTCCGCCGCCGCCACTACCAGCGCATCCCTCTCTCCTCTGCTTCTCCTCGGCGCAGCGCCGTCCTCTGCTCCGCACTCAAGTCCTCCCCCTCGCTCAGCGTCGCCGATTCCGCTTCCAGCGACTCTGCCGCTCGAATCGGATCGCTGAGTCAAGTTGCCGGCGTGCTGGGGTGCCAGTGGGGTGACGAAGGTAAAGGCAAGCTCGTCGACATCTTGGCTCAACATTTCGACATAGTCGCCCGCTGCCAGGTTTAATCGATGCTATTTTCTTCGCGTTTTCTCATCGATTTGGCCGCCGTCGTCGTTGTTGGGGCATATGGGGAAACCCCTCGTCGCCGTTGTCGGAATCGGAAGCCCAATTAGAGAAGGTTGTCGACTCCTCTTCATCTTCCTCCAATCCTCCTACACCAACACCGGCGTCTGTGTCATTCCAAGCAATCTCACGATCTCTGCTCCCTTCCAGCGCCCAACCCATCATCGAACTCGATTCCCCAAAACCAATCTTTTGATTTTTTTTCTTCCGATTCATAGATCTGGATTTCCAGTTTTGAGGGCGGCGATGGCGTCGATGTCCTCCTTAGTTTCGATGGCAGGCTTGGGCGGCGGCAGGCGACGGCGGGCGAGGGCAACGACGTGTGGGGTTGGGTGTTGGGGTTGGTGTAATGGAAATAGGTTTTTGTGGTGTGGAGGCGGATGCAGAGACGGAGAATAGAGGAAGAAGACGCGATGGAGGTGCAGAGCTACTGGACTTTTAAATTTCTAATTATTTTCTTTAGTGATATAAGAGATTTTTTTTCATTTCTGAGTGGATGCTGACATGGATGCATACGTGGAGTTCCGTTACGAAATAAGTAACGGTAACAGAACGAATGCCCAGACTTTGATAAGTTACAATAAGTTTGGATAATAAATAGAATTTTGATAGGTTTGGGTAAAAAATAAAAGAATTTTGAAAAGGTTTGGGTAAAAAATAGACATTGCCCTTATTTTTAAGTTTTAACTAAGCAATCTAACAACTATACTCTAGAAATTACCGCAATTTATTGGCAAAAATATCACTACTCTTTAATGTATAATCGAGGTGGAAGCACTTGATCGATTAAAACATCTCTCGTGAACATGAATATTAATTCTGATTGTGCCATTCAATTATCAATATATGAGCCTGCATTGAAAGTATAAATCAAGTAAAATATCATAGTAGGTAATTGCTCATTCCAAGTAGGAAAGCGAAATAGATCAATTTGTGACAGTCAAGAATATAATGGACGAAAAATATGTTTGTAAAATCTTTCTTGAAATTAATATTTCGAATTAATCGATGTACACACAATCATCTACAAGTTATGAATGAATGATATGATGTAATTGCATCTACATGACTATATAAAATGATCCAAATGATATAAACAAAAGTAATATCATGATATTAATAAGTTTGAGGTATCACATAAATGTACCAAATAAAGAACATGGTTGAAAGTCAATTCCAACCTAAATACGGATATTCAAATTTTTTTTTTTGGTAGAACGGATATTCATAATTTGCACCCAAGCTGGCATTCGTTGGCTAGCTTCACTATCAACTCCCACTTATTTATACAAAACTCCAAATCTGCAAACTTGCCCAAAAAAAAAACAGCGGCGTCCAATTGCTGGGAAGAAAACGACGGAACAAAAATCCTCTACTGCCGAATTCACAGGAGGAAGGAACGTCCAGAATCACCATTGAAAAGGAGACACGAGGGAGCCTTTGCCGGTCTCCGTCTCTGAACAACAATTAATCATCTTTCTCCGAGAGGAGAGCTTTCCTTTGGGCTTGGAAAGCAGGGCAGAAGAAGAAGGGCGAGGCCGAACGAGAGGGAGAGAAGAATTTATAACAATGGGGAAAGGGGGTGAGAGGATATCATCAATGGCGGAACAGGAGAAAGACGAAGGAGTAGTAATGGCGTCGGATTTCTTCTGGTCTTACACCGACGAGCCTCACGCCTCCCGCAGAAAACAGATCCTCTCTCAATACCCTCAGATTAAGCAGCTCTTCGGCCCTGACCCCTGGGCTTTCTCCAAGGTTAGAGAACCTTCCGCCATTCCCCCTCTTCTCTCTAGGGTTTTCAGATCTCGCCGCAATGTCCGCTCCATTCCCTCGATTCAAATTGGAAACTCTGCTTTCTGGATTCCCTCGTTCTTCAATCCCTGTCGATTTCAGCCTCTGCAGTTTATTCAACGATCTGAATCTTAGATCCGGGGATAGGAATTTGGATTCCGTTTGGATGTTTCAATTGGGTTTTCAGTAAAGTTTCTGTCTTTTTCCTGTTGGCAGATTTCTGTGGTTGTGATCCTCCAGCTATGGACAGCAACATTGCTCCACGACTCAGGGTGGCTGAAGATGCTAGCCATTGCCTACTTCTTCGGCTCGTTCCTAAACCACAATCTCTTCCTCGCAATCCACGAGCTCAGCCACAACCTCGCCTTCTCCACGCCGGTCTACAACCGCTGGCTCGGAATCTTCGCCAATCTCCCCATTGGCGTCCCCATGTCTGTCACCTTCCAAAAGTACCACCTTGAGCACCACAGGTCAGTGTTCGTAGCTACACATTTAGTACCCGTATAATACGATACTCTTAAGCGTTTAAAACTTCCGTTTTCGTATTATATCCATGTCGCTGATAGTATTAGACCGACTTCGCGACAGGTTCCAAGGCATGGACGGCATAGACATGGACATCCCAAGCCAGGCCGAGGCTCACATTGTGCGCAACGTGGTGACCAAATCCATATGGGTTCTCCTCCAGCTATTCTTCTACGCTCTCCGCCCGCTCTTCCTCAAGCCTAAACCACCAGGCTACTGGGAATTCATCAACTTCTTCGTCCAGCTATCCCTCGACGCAGCCATGGTGTACCTCTGGGGGTGGAGGTCCTTCGCTTACCTGATCATGTCGACGTTCGTAGGGGGAGGGATGCACCCGATGGCGGGCCATTTCATCTCGGAGCATTACGTGTTCAACCCGGAACAAGAGACGTATTCGTACTACGGCCCCCTGAATCTGCTGACTTGGCACGTAGGTTACCACAACGAGCACCATGATTTCCCCAGGATCCCTGGGAGCAAGCTACACAAGGTGAAGGAGATTGCTCCGGAGTACTACGAGAGCTTGGATTCGTACAAATCGTGGAGCCAGGTCATCTATATGTACATCATGGACCGCACGGTTGGACCCTTCAGCCGGATGAAGAGGAAAGTGAAGAAATCCGAGTGAAATTCTCCACAGGCAGCAGCAGGCAAACATTCTTTGTAGCATTTTGTAAACACTTGTTTGTGGCGCGGGGGATCAGTTTTGGGTTTGAGATTTGATTTCTTGTGTTGGCCCAACAATAATAACTGCCAATTTCCACTCTTTCCCCCGCCGCGGAATGGGAATCCGAGTGACATAATTAATCCTTCTCCGAGAAGGATTCCACAAACCACAAGTCAAAGAACTCATCAGACTTTATAAATAGAGATGATCCGCTGCGACCACCACCAATATCATTCCATTATTCGTTCCGCCTTGTTTCAATTCCAGACCGCTAATTTCCTCGTATCACTATGGCCATCGAGAGGAAAAGGAAGCTGGACGTCTCGTCCATTGTCCCTGCCAGCAAGCTCGCCAAGGTAGCGCCGCCGCCAAACGTCCGAGCAGCTTCTCCCATGTTCGCCGACCAATCCAGCGGGTCCATCTTCAATCGGTGGAACGGGAAGCCCTATTCCCAAAACTTCCACCGCATACTCGACAAGAGGAAGACCCTCCCGGTTTGGCAACACAAGGAGGAGATTCTGGACGCCTTGGAGAAAAACCAAGTCCTCGTCCTCGTCGGCGAGACCGGAAGCGGCAAAACAACACAGATCCCTCAATTCGTCTTGGAGATGATGACAATGGTGGAGGAAACGACCCCAAGCGACGACAAGGGAAGGAAAAAGATGATGGTCGGATGCACTCAGCCTCGCCGAGTGGCGGCCATGTCGGTATCCCAACGAGTGGCCGAAGAGATGGATGTCACACTGGGCGAAGAAGTCGGCTACACGATCCGTTTCGAAGACAAGAGCGGCCCTAAAACAGTGCTGAACTACTTGACCGACGGCATGCTCCTGAGGGAAGCCACGGCCGATCCGCTGCTGAGAAGCTACAGCGCGATCATTCTCGACGAGGCCCACGAGAGGACCGTGGCGACCGACATCTTGTTCGGGCTCCTCAAACAAGTGCTGAGGAGCCGACCGGATCTGAAATTGGTGGTGATGAGTGCGACATTGGAGGCTGAAAAATTCCAGGGCTATTTCGGCGGGAAGGCACCTCTCATCAAAGTCCCCGGCAGGCTCCACGACGTGGAGGTCTTGTACACCGAGGAGAGCCAGAGAGACTACGTCGAATCGGCAATTCAGACAGTTGTTCAGGTACATATGTGTGAAGGACCTGGAGATGTACTATTGTTCTTGACAGGCGAGGAAGAGATTGAGGATGCCTGCAGAAACATTGCCAAGGAGATTGGGAACTTGGGAGGCCAGGTTGGTCCCGCCACAATCATTCCTCTGTACTCGACTCTGCCTCCAGCCCTGCAGCAGAAGGTATTTGAACCTGCTCCCGGGAGGACCAGGAAAATCGTGGTATCGACCAACATTGCCGAGACGTCGCTCACGATCGACGGCATTGTCTACGTGGTCGATCCAGGTTTCGTCAAGAGGAAAGTCTACGATCCCCGCGTTGGAGCGGAGTCACTTCAGGTGACCCCTATCTCCAAGGCTAGTGCCGAGCAGAGGAAGGGTCGAGCAGGCAGGACGGCCCCGGGGAAGTGCTACAGGTTGTACACTGAGAAGAGTTTTGATAAGGATCTGCAGTCGCAGACCGATCCGGAGATAGTCAGATCGAATCTAGGGACGACTTTCCTGACGATGAAGAAGCTGGGGATTGATGACCTGGTGCACTTCGATTACATGGACCCACCCGCCCCCAAGACGCTTGAGCGAGCTCTGGAGATGCTGTACTACTTGGGCGCCATGGATGACGAGGGCAACCTGACGAAGCTGGGGCGGATCATGAGCGAGTTTCCGTTGGATCCTCAGACGGCAAAGGCGCTGATTGTTAGTCCAGAGTTCAATTGCTCCAACGAGATCCTCTCTATCTGTGCCATGCTATCAGTTCCCAATTGCTTTGTCCGCCCTCCCAAGGGGGAGGCTCGAAGGAAGGCTGCTGCCGATGAAGCCAGAGCTCGGTTCGCACACATCGAAGGAGATCACCTCACTTTGCTCAACATCTACCACGCGTTCAAGCTGAACAACGAGGATCCTTCGTGGTGCTACGAGAATTTCATCAACTACAAAGCCATGAAGTCTGCCGACGACGTTAGGCAGCAGCTCGCGCGGATCATGTCGAGGTATAACCTCAGGATGTGCAGCACCGAATTCGGCAGCAGAGATTACTACGTCAACATAAGAAAGGCGATACTTGCGGGATGTTTCATGCAAGTGGCTCATCTGGAGCGAAGCACTGGACACTACCTGACGGTCAAAGACAACCAAGTCGTGCACTTACATCCGTCGACATGTCTGGATCACAACCCTCAGTGGGTGGTCTACAATGAATGTGTTGTGACTAGCAGGAGTTTCATCCGGACGACGACAGACATTCGCGGCGAGTGGCTTGTAGACATTGCTCCTCACTTTTACGAGATGGAGAACTTCCCCGAGTGTGAAGCCAAGCGGGTTCTGAAGACGTTGTACAAGAAGCGGGAGAGGGAGATGGAGAAGAGCAAGAACAGGAGATGAGATGTTGCCCACCACATCCAGTATCCCACGATTTAAAGTATATTTATCTCTGTACGATGATTGCACTGCATAATTGTAATTTCAGTTACATCAAATAGTAGCTCTGTAATAACATTGAAGGCGCATGAAGGTTGTCAACAAACTCAATCTCAGGAAGATGAGATGAGATGCTCCCGTGGACCTTTGATCTATGTAATGTTGTGCCTTGACAAGTCATGCTTTCATATAATTGTGTATTTTCTGCAATTTCAGTATCAATTATATGTGACAGCATGGTGTCGTCTGTAATTTGCACTTTACCCATCTTTTGATAGCCAAATTATTACTTTTTCTCCAGCCAATGTTTCAGCATGATTGTGCATTATGATTGTGGAAAGAAACCAAAGAGATAAGAACTGCTTTTCAGAAGGGGGAAGGGGGTGGGGGCAGTAAGAGGAAGAAGAAATATTTAGCCATCCATGTATCATTGGGAACTAACTCTACCTGGAGTGGTTAGTGGTAACCAGATCTCTCTAGTGAATGATGGTTCATCATCAGTAAGAAGCTCCTTCCACAGTTGTTCGTGCTTGATATTCGAATCAAGGGCAACAATGGAATGAAAGGTAAATGTTAGAAAGTTGGAAAAACCAGGCAGGGTCAAATGACAATTCAGCTAATAAGAAGAAAGCATCCAGCCTCATACAGCAAACACATCTCCAGCAGTAGACTAGTCTTTAGATTGAAGGATTCATCCAAATTCCCGGCACTATTTAATGGAGCTAAAACGGTAGCGTTTGAGTATCCGGGTTAGATAGGTCGTTGGTTCAAACCTGAACCGGTTAGATAGGTTGGGTGTACTTCTGTTCAGTTAGTCGAGTTGTATAGTATTAGTATATATAGGTCAAATAAACACAGCTCTAAATTACTTTCTGCAATAATGAAATAATCGATTCTTCGTCTCAGTATGGGATAGAGAAATTTTGTTCTTGATTTTCTTCTTTTTCCGTTCCGCTTCTTTCGTCTTGCTACTTCGCGAATCGCGATTGTTCCTTCTCCAGTTCATCGTTCACGATGACTCGTACCTCTGATCCACCGTCGTCGCCGCCGCAGCCGGAGCTGCAACAGCTCGTTCCTCCGCCGCAGCCGCTTGTTCCTCCGCCGCAGCCGCTCGTTCCTCCGCCGGTGCCGGAATTTCAAGATCCAAATAGTCCGTTCTATATGCATGGCGAGAAGGGAGATCTCACTCGTATTTCAGATTTATGGGAGGAGATTTACGCTATGAAGCAAGGTACTTCGTCTGTGACTGAATTTCACACAAGGTTCAAAGTAGTTTGGGATGAATTTCTTGCTTGCACTCCCATTCTTTCTTGTCGATGTACTCCGCGTTGTTCATGTGGTATGGCTGCTCGGCTACGAGACTATCAATTGGCACATCAGGTCGTGCAATTCTTGCGTGGTCTGAACGAGTCCTTCGAGCCTCTTCGTTCTCAGATTCTCATGGCGAGTCCCTTGCCTCCTCTGAACGAGGTCTTCTCGTTAGTCTACCAACATGAACAGGAGATGGCTCATCCTGGCTCTCTGGCTACCGTTCTTGCTGCTAATGCAGTTTCCTCTACTCCATCACAAGCAGACCTACTTGCTATGGCTGCTCGTTTCGTTCGGACGGCTGGTGCTACTGGTAATTCTGGCAAGCAATCCAACCAGCAACGACAAAGGCTCATCTGCCCTCACTGTGGAGGTAAGGGGCATACCATCGGTGGAGGGGTCAATGCTGTTGTTTCCGATCCTGAGACTGGTGATGGTGACGATAGTCAGAAGCTTCTGCCTTCTACTTCATCCACCCCTCCTTCATCCTCCGCTCCCCTTTCTCCAGCCACCCCTCCTCCTTCATCCTCCGCTCCTCCTTCTCCTTCTGGTTCACTCTTTACCCAGCCCTCCATCCTCAGCAGTTCTCCCAAACAAGAATCTGCCCAGGTATACCCATCTCTTTTCACCACTTTATGCATTGATGACTTAGATTGTATCTAGACTGTTCTGGGTTTTGACTGTTCTTGTATCCAGGCCAAGAGTGAAGAGTGTTCTGTGTTGTTTGAAAGAGAACCCCTTGATCTCAAGAAAGAGTTTGTCTCTGGTGGCTTGCTGCCAGACTTCTATGACGCGAATGTGTGTACCCCTGTTTTGTCCTTTTCTCTCAATTGAATGATGACTACTCTTATTGGATGTTGACTATCATGTTCTCGTTATTGCAGGAGAACAGAATTGTCAGCACTTCAACAGAAAAGCTGAACAACTTTCTAAAGAATGTTGAAGTATGTTCTGTTCTACATGAATGGTATTGTTTTTCTTGTAGGTTGACAGTGTGATAATTTGTTTACTTGTTTCCAATAGGAGAATAAATCGTTGAACGGGGAGGGGCTTGGATATAGGAGGATTGGAGAGCTGATTGACCAAGGAGAAGAAGCCGAAGAAGCACAATCTTTCAAAGAGGGTGACGAATCCTCTTCTATTCTGAAGGATGAAGCAAAGATATTCTTTGTTTCTGGAGGTTTGCTCTCGGTCTCAGAAACCACACCTATTCATTCTGATCACAACGTTGAAGATTACATCAGCAGTTTGCTAGCAAGGAGGTCTGTCAACAGAGAAGGCCTGGGGTACAGAACGGAAAGAAGGGAAAGAGAGAAGGAAGAGGATACGGAAGAAAGACCCGCTTCAAAAGGGCATGTGGGAAAGACCATTCCTGGCTTTGTTTGTGGCGGTTTCCTGGTAAACACACAAGAAGTGAGTAGTGTCTTTGCTCACAAGTGCTTTTGTGTAATGGATTGATTGACTCATTCATTCTTGAAATAATTTTACATAATTTTCTCCACTTATACAGGAGAAGGTGGACACTTGTTTGGACAATTCAGACCACAAGGCAGAAGATTACATCAACTATTTGCTAGCAGGGAGGTCTATCGATAGGGAAGGCTTGGGGTACGGAAAGGAAAGGAGCGAAAGAGAGAAGAAAGTGGAGACTGAAGAAGCATCCAATTCTTCAATGAAGCAGATGGAAAAGACGATTCCCGGCTTTGTTTCTGGCGGTTTCCTGACAAACACACAAGAAGTGAGTTGTCTCTTTCCTATCAAGTGCTTTTGAATGATGGATTGATTCAGTCATTCAGAATTTTACAGCTTTGTTTCACTTATACAGGAGAGCCTGGACGATTGTTTGGACAATTCTGATCACAAGGTGGTAGATCACTTCAACTGTTTGCTAGCAGGGAGGTCTGTCAACAGGGAAGGCTTGGGGTACGGAAAGGAAAGTAGGGAAAGTGAGAAGAAAGTGGAGACTGAAGAAGAGTCTACTACTGCTGCTTTGAAGGAACAAGAAGGGAAGGGGTTGCTATAGGTAGCTTGGAGGGCACATTGTCCACGGAGAAGAACCCAGAGAGTAGTCAGCACTCAGCAGCTCCTTTTGGACCGGTTAACTAGCCACCTGTTAGGAATTTTGCTCGGGAACCATAATCAAGCCAGCCACTTTTGACACTTTGGTGATATTAACGTGTATAGTTAGACATACAGGAATGGCAGCTTTTGGAATCATTGGGTAAATCAAGCCATTTTGACACTTTGGTGGTAGTTACTTGTATAGATAGACAGCGTCACAGTCACAGCTCAGAGTCACAGGGGTGTATATAGGAATTCGTTGTAGTGAATTTTGTTTGTAGTTCATGAATGATTGATTTGTGGAGTCATTGAATAATGCGGATTGGTCACTTGTCTCTCTCACTACTCCCCACAATCCATATTTGGGAATGTGGCTTACTATACACTTAGGCGTATTATACACTTGCTTTATGGCTTACTCATTGGAGAATTATATGGGATCATCAGGTTAATGGTAATTAAAATTACCATCATGCTCTTTTACTTATATATATATATATAGCTTGCTTTGTTATTCTACATGGTTGTTTTTCCTTTCCATAATATTGATACGCTGTTGAATTTACTTTACTTGAAGGATTCATTGGTGTCTTGAGCGAATGTGGTGATTGGATGGACCTGAATGAATGTCTACAAGTGTTGCAAGATTAGTAGTTGAGCTAACTACAGATTTTGTGGTGTATGAGGTACAATAGCACAAGTAAGTTAGTTTGGAAGAAGGATTTCTCTACACTCTTCACGTTTCTTAGGGTGCAGATGTCTTTATATTAGTTGATATTGTGGATTAACTACTGGCTATTGGTCCATCTTGGAGTCTGCTTGAGATAGTATTTCATAATCTCATTTCATTGCCAGCTACTACTAACTAAAGTTAAATATTGTCGTCATTGTAATGTTTAATACAAGTTGCATTTCTATGATTCTATCATCAAAACTCTCAATTGAATTTGCAGGGTCTGATTGCTATATCTAGGGCCGCTTTAAATGTTTATGGTGAAAGATGACCTTTTACTACGAAGAGAAGGTAGTTCATGTTCCAACTTTGCTATGCCATGACCGTTAACAAAAGCTAGGACCAGGCAGGCTCTCGATGGAGGTGGACTGTTCTTGCCCAAACCTGGTTTTTGTTACAGCAGCTGTATGTCAGCATTTCTTGGGTGTAATTAGTTGACAGCCGTCAGTTCTTCATACAAGATTATGACATTGTGTCCTACAGAATGTACCAAAAAATACGCTACAGAGAGCTTTATGTTGATTTGTACCTGCAAGGTAACTTTTCATCCAACTGTCTTTCATTGTAAACCTCGATGCTTATGAAACTTTTTTGATGTTCATACCAAATTATTCTGTAGTGACAGGTTCTGATGTCCCAGCCCTGCCAAATTAGTGTTGTTTTGAACTGCATAGGTATCTCTTTACTTTCCCAGCAATTGGCAGACTACTCTATCATGGAAACAAGGTTCACCTGTAGTTAATAGCTATACATGGTTGTTACTTGCCTTGCTCAGTTGTAAGAGACAAGTGAGGTCATTGACTCATCTGTCATTCATATATGCTTCAGTGAACTTTTAAGTTCCTAGCCTATTCTTCAGTTTTTGCTGAAGTTAATGGTGGTTCAATCCGTTAATTCATATAAGGGACTCCATGCCTCTATTTTATTCGAAGTTGCTTCTCTCTTGGCGCACCTATTTCGCTCCAAGTCCTTGTCTATTTTTGTTTCCCATTGTAATCTTACTTCACCGATAAGATTGTTTAATGAATACAAATTACGAGAGCATAAAAAGGACGTTGACTACATTTTCAATGATTGAAAATAACATACAAAGTTACCGATACACCAATAGCAGTCATAAAAGTTCATAATGGTCTTAACAGTGGCGATCTCTGCGATATTATGTAGACTACAAAAAATGACTACAGAAAATTATGTTGCTCTAAGTTTAGTCCCCGCGGCGTAGCGGTGGGTATTGATTCTAGTGTTAGATAACAATAAGCATAAGGGGTATCTGATTCTGAAAGAAACTTGAAATCGCGATTTCATCCAAAAAAAAAAAAAACCATGCGGGGTTGGATCATGGCGGGCCTGATCGCCATTCTAAAACCTTAAGTTCATGATTTCACCCTGTATAAAGTTACTGTTAGGAACTTCTTTTCGGTTCATCAATCAGATCTCCATCTTACTGCCTTGAGGAATTGATTGGAAGGAAAAAGAATAGTGCACTTCGTCAAGTTCTGTACTGAGTTACCCCTGTGGATTTGCTTTCTGTAAAAAGAATAGCACACAGATTGCCTATCAATGGTATTGCCTTAGTGTCATCTGCTCCTAGAAATTGTGCATACAAATGTACCAATTTGTCTGTCCAAAAAAAAAAAAAAAACGCCAGCTCATGTTCAGACCTTCTTCTTTCATGCAAATGTGTTTCCCGCCGCGTAGCTGCGGGTATTGGTTCTAGTGTGTAAGAGTAGGGAGTATGCAGTGCTCACTCATTATAAAAAAAACCTCTTGGGATATATCGAATAAGCAAAATTAGATCATATTTTTATTATTATTATTATTATCATTATTATTATTATGGTTAAATGTTTGATAACGCATTACCTCTAATGTTGAACTGTGTATCAATGAACTCTAATGACCCTTTTGAGCTCTCCCTGATTATCCACACGTCGACAATGAGGTACATACTTTGCATGATGATGCTGATGAAGACTCACTCCAACAGACAATTGATACTCCGGCTCCTGACCAAGTGATTCATCCCAGTGAACCTGTGGTGCGTAGCGGCCTTCGCGAACGTCGCCCATCACGACACTTGGTGGACCTGTATTACACTTGAAAAACATGATATGAACTAGTTAGAAATAATGAGCAAAAATATCATTCCAACATAGTGTATACTAAATATGCGTGCGATCTTCATCATGGAAAATTTACTATACTTCTGTTTCAATATGCATATTAATCACACATATCATATACGGTACAAATTCTAGAATATCTCATTTATATTTTATTGTAGAGTTTAAGTTTGAGGTTCAACCATTTAGAATCATAAACGAGCCGAGCTCAAGTCACCTCGAGCCGAGCCTGAGCGAAAGTTTTACTAAACGAGTCGAGCTAAAGCTCGTCTCCTTTTCTAATGAGCTGAGCCTAAGCTAGGCCAAAACTTGATTAAGCTCGGCCCTATTCAAAATAGAGTTGGGTGATTATCACACAACTCAACACTTAATAAAAGACGACCACCGAAGTTTAATTTTACAAATTTCAAGAGTATATGCAGAGTATACATAGAAGATTTGGGGCGACTGCAAAGGCTAGAAGGGTGTCATATTTTCAAGAATGATTCCATATTCTGAACGATTTCATGTGTGGTATAAGAACACAAACCTTGGTTCCAAATGGTAGCTGAGCCTGAGCTAGGCTAAAACTTGGTTCAGCTCAGCCCTATTCATAATAGAGTTGGGTGATAATCACACAACTTATCACTTAGTACAATACGACCACTGAAGTTTAATTTTACAAATTTCAATAAAATACATTTGGACGTATAACAAAGTGATCATTCCGTCCATTTCAATCCAAAATCCGCTAACTGAGCACAATCAGCACGCCATGTCAAAAAAAAAAAATTTAATAAACCAACTAACTAAAAACCTCACCGAGCCGGGATGAGATTAGGTGCTAACCCTTATAGGGGTTAGCATCGTGATAACTAGCAAAAAACGCTACTAAAAACAACAAAATCACTACGGATTATTATAAAATCAATACAACATCTAAGCTAAATCACTACTAATTCAAACTAGTAGTAGTTTTTTTCCCTTGGTTAGGACGGTGCTAACTCTTGTACAATTAGCACCGTAACTTCTTGTACCACCTAAAAATTGTACCCCATATATTTCTTGTGTTGGCCCATCAATAATAACCGCCAATTTCCACTCTTTTTTCCCCCATAGATCGGGAATGAAATAGATATTACAGGACGTTAGATAACCAGACGCGATAGTCGACACAATATCGAGCTGTCGATGAAAGGGCATTAGAAGCCACTAAGTGGGCAGCCCTATAGTACAACCTCGGCGTAAAAGTACAAATAAAGAAATTAAAAGACACAGACGCCAAACAAATCTCTTTCAATATCGCTCCACCTGTCGCATGCGCCACATCACGAGATTGCATCATAATGGATGGATGCTTGTATGGTCAAGGGAAAACTACGTGCCCCTACAAAAACAAACAAACACACAAGCGCCCATACTGTAGGACAACTAAACTCCACCGAATGGACTTAAACAAGCCATTGAGACTTAGTCGGATATTCCGAATCAAAAGCTAACAATGTCAAAAGAATAACGGTTTATAATACTTTTTTTACATAAAAGTTAATGAAAAGTTTAAATATACGAGCAGTTAAGGAAAATAAAATTAAAAGATTTTAGAATTATATTTTTGGAAATAAATACATATTAAAATAAGGAGGAAAGAGAAAGAACAAGCGTATCTGAAACGGATCGCAGTTGGAATCGCCTCTCGATTTGTAACCGTTGCTCTGGAATTGTAACCGTCGGATCCCAAAACTGAAGCCTCCTACAATGTAACTGCCGGCCGTCGGGATTCGCGTCGTCGGAAGCAAACTTCGAACGCTCGACGGCGGTGGAGGCCTTCCGAACATACACCTTCCGATCTCCTTTTACTCACTGGCAGAAACCCCCATCTTATCCCCTCTCGAATTCGTAAATCCACGATAACTAGGATCGAAACAGCAATGGCGTCGCCTTTCCAGGTGAACTCCAACTCTTTGTTCCTCTGCGGCACCGCCGACGCCGAGGGAGCCATCGCGGTGGTGAACACCGTCACTGATCTCAATTCCGCTGCCTGCCCCTCCGATCAGTGGAGCATCGTCGCCGCCGCCGTAACCGAAACCTCCACCCTCACCTTGCAATCGATTGCACCTTGGAGTTCAGACTTGTCCGCTTTAGAAGCTTTGAGGGCGCGCACTGCGTTGCCCTGAGCATCGATTGCAGATTGCTTCTCTGCCAGAGCTCTGCGGAGTGATTCCTCGGAGACTGCGTCCATCACCAGACTGGGATGGTTGACATGATCTCGACAACTAAGCCACATCATCCGTTCATAGCCAATTTCCACTCTTTCCCCCCCCCCCCCCCCCCCCCCCGCCGCCGCCGGAATGTGACATAATTAAAATCCTTCTCCGAGAAGGATTCCACAAACCCCAAGTCCGAAGAACTCATCATACGTTATAAATAGATGATCCGCTGCGACCACCACCAATATCATATTTCATTATTCGTTCCGCCTTGTTTCAATTTCCAGACCGCCAATTCCCTCGTATCGCTATGGCCATCGAGAGGAAAAGGAAGCTGGACGTCTCGTCCACTGTCCCCGCCGGCAAGCTCGCCAAGGTAGCGCCGACGCCAAACGTCGGAGCAGCTTCTCCCATGTTCGCCGACCAAGCCAGCGGGTCCATCTTCAATCCGTGGAATGGGAAGCCCTATTCCCAAAACTTCCACCGCATACTCGACCAGAGGAAGACCCTCCCGGTTTGGCAACACAAGGAGGAGATTTTGGACGCCCTGAGGAAAAATCAAGTCCTCGTCCTCGTCGGCGAGACCGGAAGCGGCAAAACAACACAGATCCCTCAATTCGTCTTGGAGATGATGACGATGACGGTGGCGGAAACGACCCCAGGCGACGACAAGAGAAGAAAAAAGATGATGGTCGGATGCACTCAGCCTCGCCGAGTGGCGGCCATGTCGGTATCCCAACGAGTGGCCGAAGAGATGGATGTCACACTGGGCGAAGAAGTCGGCTACACGATCCGTTTCGAAGACAAGAGCGGCCCTAAAACAGTGCTGAACTACTTGACCGACGGCATGCTCCTGAGGGAAGCCACGGCCGATCCGCTGCTGAGAAGCTACAGCGCGATCATTCTCGACGAGGCCCACGAGAGGACCGTGGCGACCGACATCTTGTTCGGGCTCCTCAAACGAGTGCTGAGGAGCCGACCGGATCTGAAATTGGTGGTGATGAGCGCGACATTGGAGGCTGAAAAATTCCAGGGCTATTTCGGCGGGAAGGCGCCTCTCATCAAAGTCCCCGGCAGGCTCCACGACGTGGAGGTCTTGTACACCGAGGAGAGCCAGAGAGACTACGTCGAATCGGCAATTCAGACAGTTGTTCAGGTACATATGTGTGAAGGACCTGGAGATGTACTATTGTTCTTGACAGGCGAGGAAGAGATTGAGGATGCCTGCAGAAACATTGCCAAGGAGATTGGGAACTTGGGAGGCCAGGTTGGTCCCGCCACAATCATTCCTCTGTACTCGACTCTGCCTCCAGCCCTGCAGCAGAAGGTATTTGAACCTGCTCCCGGGAGGACCAGGAAAATCGTGGTATCGACCAACATTGCCGAGACGTCGCTCACGATCGACGGCATTGTCTACGTGGTCGATCCAGGTTTCGTCAAGAGGAAAGTCTACGATCCCCGCGTTGGAGCGGAGTCACTTCAGGTGACCCCTATCTCCAAGGCTAGTGCCGAGCAGAGGAAGGGTCGAGCAGGCAGGACGGCCCCGGGGAAGTGCTACAGGTTGTACACTGAGAAGAGTTTTGATAAGGATCTGCAGTCGCAGACCGATCCGGAGATAGTCAGATCGAATCTAGGGACGACTTTCCTGACGATGAAGAAGCTGGGGATTGATGACCTGGTGCACTTCGATTACATGGACCCACCCGCCCCCAAGACGCTTGAGCGAGCTCTGGAGATGCTGTACTACTTGGGCGCCATGGATGACGAGGGCAACCTGACGAAGCTGGGGCGGATCATGAGCGAGTTTCCGTTGGATCCTCAGACGGCAAAGGCGCTGATTGTTAGTCCAGAGTTCAATTGCTCCAACGAGATCCTCTCTATCTGTGCCATGCTATCAGTTCCCAATTGCTTTGTCCGCCCTCCCAAGGGGGAGGCTCGAAGGAAGGCTGCTGCCGATGAAGCCAGAGCTCGGTTCGCACACATCGAAGGAGATCACCTCACTTTGCTCAACATCTACCACGCGTTCAAGCTGAACAACGAGGATCCTTCATGGTGCCACGAGAACTTCATCAACTACAAAGCCATGAAGTCTGCCGACAACGTTAGGCAGCAGCTCGCGCGGATCATGTCGAGGTGTAGCCTCAGGATGTGCAGCACCGAATTCGGCAGCAGAGATTACTACGTCAACATAAGGAAGGCGATACTGGCGGGATGTTTCATGCAAGTGGCTCATCTGGAGCGAAGCACTGGACGCTACCTGACGGTCAGAGACAACCAAGCCGTGCACTTACATCCGTCGACGTGCCTGGATCACAACCCTCAGTGGGTGGTCTACAATGAATGTGTTGTGACTAGCAGGAGTTTCATCCGGACGACGACGGACATTCGCGGCGAGTGGCTTGTAGACATTGCTCCTCACTTTTACGAGATGGAGAACTTCCCCGAGTGTGAAGCCAAGCGGGTTCTGAAGACGTTGTACAAGAACAGGAGATGAGATGCTGCCCACCACATCCAGTCTCCCACGATTTAAAGTATAATTTATCTGCATAATTGTAATTTCAGTTACATCAAATAGTAGCTCTGTATTAACATTGAAGGCGCATGAAGCTGATTCTTTAATTCTTTAAAGGTAGGTACACTTTATTGGCCAAGAATTTACTGTACATTATTTTGTCGGTTTCCTTTCCTAACATCTACTGGGTGCACTTTGCTAAAAGGCCTTCCAGAAAAAACTTTCCCAACCCAGCTCTACCTCTACCCCACAAAACTAGCATTTCCCTAATTCCAGCGACCACCCATCCCTCCCACTGCTTGCCGTGCGGGCCTGTTCAGTCGCCGCCCTCCTGTGTCTTCCCGTACGATTATCTCACCTTATCTGTTGTTGCTGCTACACGCCATCGGTGGGAAGGCTTCTGCCAGACACGCCATCGCCCACTGTTCCCCTCCTCAACGTGATTTGTGCCCTCGCGGACTTTGAGACCCGGTTGACTTCCTTGGTTCTCTTCTACACCGGCGAAGAGGTCAGAACAAGAAGATCAATGATGGTGATACGACCGTCCAAGCAGCAGCAGTGAGTTGATTTCGGGTGCATTCTCCCCAAACCATTTTCTTCACTTCCATACGCTCGGTTCCTGATCCTTCTTCCATTCTTCTTCTTCTTCTTCTTCTTCTTCTTCTTCTTCTTCTTCTTCATTTTACCTTTCCTTTCATCCCTATCAAACAGATGACCCTAAGACGATGATGATTATGAATGCTTTGTTGAAATGTTCTGGCTATTGGGAACCATCGGGTCAATGAGGATCTCTGGCTGCCGCCGTGTTTGCAATCAGATTTGGTTTGGGATTTCTGTGACACGGTGCTCCGCCGCTGCATATTCTCCCCCATTCTGCTACTGCTTCTTACCTCTCCATCTTTTTTTGGTTTATTTCTTCGACAACAGTAGGACGAGACGCTCATGATGCTGGAGTGCGACGAATACAGTGTCCTCTTCTTCCTCAAATTGTGTCTCAACTACTCCACTCTGTTTCCTTGCGTTTTAGCTTTGTTTTGCTCATGGTAGTTGTTGCGAACCCTGAATTATTCCTCTATTTATTTCAGGTTTTGCAGCCGAGAACCAGCCTGATGAACCAGCTTGGGAGGTACATTGTGACCATGACGAGCAACGATGATGAAATGGTAGTTGAGTTCAGTTCGGATCATTTGGTGCTTCCTAGGTGAAGGTTGTTCTTCGAGTAGCTCACGAACAACCCAAAGAAGCAATAGAGCCATACGGATTGCTACGGATTGTTGCCATCACTTATTCAGGTATAGCGTGTCTGTACTATTACTTTTCCAACAGTACGTACGATTTCCATGTAAAAAAATGGTTAAATGTTGACCGTAAGATCCATTCCAATTTATAGGGGAGTGCAGAGGGGAACTTAGAGCTGGTACCATGTAGGATATCTACGTCAGAGGCTTCTTAGAACTGCTGGTGAGGCTGCTTAGAAATGGTGGCGAGGCTGCAACCTACAGGTATGTGACTTTGTTGCTGCTGTTTTTATGTTCTGCTTCCTGTGTATAATAAATGTTCCAGCCATTGATCGTGGATACTTGAGATTTTTTTTGTTCAACAAACAGGCAGGACATTGGCTGAGGAAACTAAAGTTTAGGGTTGTCTGTATAACTCCAACTCAAATCCTTCTCCTGCTCACTGGTAGTGCAGTGATCTCAATTTCATGTTCACATTTGGGATTCTTAAACTAATGCGCTTTGTTGGTTAAACATGTGGCAGTACGTTTACTGCATGTTGGACAGTTCTCTCCTTTGCTTTCCCGAATCAGATAATTCAGATTGTCACGCTGCAGAAATTGAATGCTGCACTATGTATGAGGTGCTGGAGTCTGCAGAGTATGCTGTTATCCTAATCTGATTTATAACACTGGGTTTAGACAAAGCATGCTAATTTTTCTTTTACTAATTCAAATGTTTTTTTTTTCTCTCTAGGAATTGCTAGGGGTGGCAAAGTAACTAGGGAGCATGGTCCTGTTGAAGGTTCCAGTACTGTCCCTGAATTTGCCTTGCTGAACAATTTCTTTCTTTGCTGTCGCGAAATCGATCATCGTGATCACCACCATTTTCCTGACTTAGCTGCTGACTCCTGTACTCCCCAATCTCTCTACTTTTTGTCCTTAATCATTCATTGTTTCTTGCATCTCTTTGTTCGCCTTAATCATCTATAAGGGTTTTTAAAATGTTAGAATGTGTTGGTTCACGTATCACGTTCCAATTCACGGCTGCCTTAGTAGTAGAAAGTGTCAGTCAAACATGATGGTGGTGGTGTTCAGCTTATTTAATCCATTTGTGTTTAGTTTCTTCTGGCACTGATGTTTGTCTTTATTTTATGTGATTATGAAAATGCAGGCCTCGAAGACTGGAGGAAGGGATAATGATGCATTTGGGAAAGTCTTCATTGGGTAAACTCCTTAATGTTCATTCCATATAGAACTATGTATAGCCATTGGAAATTCACCAGCAAAGCTTTGCCAATTCTCTTTTTGTGCCAATTGAGAGTCATAAGCTGGTTACAGCTATTCGTTCAACAATTTAGTCAAGCATTTAAGCCAGAAGTATGCATCTATCAGGTTACAGCTTATTATAATTTCCTGGTTCTTTTAGTTCTTCAATCCATTCTTCATGGGTTCTAAAGCATCAGTTTATTTCCTTTTAGAGTTCTCAATATGCTACTATTAGCTTTGGTTGTGAGTTGTGACCAACCAGCTCATTTTCTTCAGCCTGTTAACATATATTGTGTTCTGCTCGGTTCAGGCAAGAACAATTTAATTCCTGTTTTACTTTCTAATTCCCTATGTTTTATGTATAATTATCTTCTTCTTTATACAATGTATCTCTTATATTTGGCTATTATGTAAAAGTACTCGGAACATATTATTGCTCCATTTGGTAAATGTGTCTGGATACTACGTACAAGAATACGAACTATGCTTTACAAATATATGAGAAACAACTAATGGTCAATGCTTCTTTAGGATGAATATTCTCTTTCAATTATGTTAATGCAAGTTTACTTCACGCGGCGTAGCCGCGGGTATTGATTCTAGTAAATGTAATTGCTAGGCTTTGATTGATAAGGTTGGTCATAGCGAGCCATCATATCATTTTGTAAGCATGAGATCTCGAAGATGCAGTGAGTACATGGAAGATGTTTCTAATTGGCAATCAGTCAGCATAAATGAAATCAGTTCCTGGACCTAGGACTTAAACAGCTAGGCTAGAGCAGGGATACCCATTTTATGACTGAGCCAAGTGATTTCATGCAATACATAACGCACCAGTGAGATTCTTGCAACTATAATTCATCTGGTTCTATCCGACGTTTTAGCTGTGACCAACCAGTTTAGTTTGGTACAAATAAACCAGATCCAAAAAAGGAAGAAGAAAGAAATACACTACTTCCGGAGTTTGAAGTTGATCATGATTCATGCATCAGGAGGACTCAACTCAAATAAACGGTGTTCAAGAGTACAAAGAGATGAAACTTATTTTCAGAGATATGTCATGAAAATCTCGGTTCCTTATTGTTCTAAATTCGAATAGGCCTTCTATTGATCTTCCAAATAACTCTCGATTTGGAATCAACGTTCGTCCACCTGCAGAATTTGATGTAACTAGGAAAAAAGCCCGCGCTTCGCGGCGGGAGATAATACTGAAAAATATGTTGGTTTGAGCGGAGATTGCCATATAAGACCTGTATGATTTATACATCTATAAACGGTATTTTGCAAATAAGAAAGGTACATAAATTTAGTAGATATTGGAAACCGGGCATTACTCTTTAAAGGAGTAACACATATTGGTATATGTTAATTGATTAATCAGTGAAGCGCGATTAACTTTTCGTGCTGCTTTGCATCGGATGTTGTCTAAAAGAGTGGTAACCGGTGATAATGGAGCATGTGAACTTTGCCTATTGCTTTTTTAAAACTGGTAGAGAACCTGACATTGTAATTCTTACATAGTAGTACAAAAGGCAGTACTAATTCAAGAAGCAGCAGAATTGCAAAGTACATGTGCACAACATATCATGCAAGCACCCAAAGCTGCAGAGGCAATGTGATTGTTAGTTGACAGTAAGAGTCTCATGAAAATCTTCAGCAACATCACCTTTTTGCATAGAGATTTTGTGTGTTTGATAGACAACATTAAGCTATGTTGCAAAGAATCCACTGGTGTTGACGATGATACTACTGATCGGGCGATTCATGTGGACGCTGATATTTGCCTGACCTATTTCTGAAGTAGGTTGTGGTTGGCCAAAGAAAGGATTGTAAACTCCAAAGGGGTATGACGTAAATAACCAGGTTTAGGAAGCTGAACGGTGAATGAAAACCAACGTCCACTCATGGCAACAATTTCTGGAGGGCAATAGGCATGTTGTTGAGGGCAACGCGACGATAATTCGTCAGCAGTAACTCCAAGTAAAAGCTCAGCGGTCTTCCCAAATATGATAAAGCATGCAGAACCTGTAGTGTCTCCCACGGCTAAATGAATCTTGTAGCTGAAAAAGTGTATAAGAAATTTAGCGTTAGTTGATTGTGGAAATTGTAATGAAAGGAACAATGTATGGTGCTAAACAAACCATTTCTGGGTTTCTTGAGGTATTAAATGGCCATGCTCATCACACCAGAAATCATTAGTACCAGGAAAGTCTCTTGCTGTTTTAAAGCAAAATGCACATCCTAGATAGAACCATGGTCGTGAAGATTGAGCGGAGAGGACTTGTGCTAAGCAACGATACTGTGTAGCCTGTAAGTAAATAGTGCAAGCAAGCAAAGCTAGTTAAGAGGTAGGAGTTTGTTGGTTAAGAGAAAATAGAAGGGCACAGGTTGCAGCATCAACTGGTATAGTAGTAAAATTTTGTGTGGCACAAGACCTAACAATGAAATGTCAAACAGAATCCTTTGTAAAAGCGCCAGGTAAGTTTAAAAAGACAAATAAGTAAGTTAGGCATAATAAATGTGCATGTTATACTGTAGCGTAGTATGGATGCATCAAATGTAGCATTCGTAGAGAAAGTTCTGTGTAAGAAGCACATACATCAACCATTGATGGGCTGCAAAGGCGGATTAGGTCTAGAATTGTCTTTGTACTGTCAATTTGAAGTAGGTTTTCTTCGAAAGAGGTTGAGAACCACGGAGCATAGTACTGAATCGTATCTACTCCACCAACAGAGCTACACAGCGAGTGAAATATTAGGTAAAGAGAAAGTATCTTATTGAAAGTGACATCGTAAGCAACTTACGCAGAGCGCAAATTATTTGCTAGATCACAAGACGGTTCTAGTACAAATCGTGTGGCAGGGGTGCTGGTCAAGAAGATGGCATCTTGGAAAAAAATAGAAAGTAGGAATTAATACATGATAACGTAGATAAGTCAGACCATAAACTATGATATAAAAATATGTGATCTAACCTGTTACAATATCACTAATTCGAAGACTACATACACCTAGTACAACAAAACCAGAACGGCCAAGGTATGCTAGTTCTTCTCCATCTAAAGATCGTGCAACATCGCCACAGATGGTGATGTTAAGGCGTACATGCCTGTGAGAATACAATGAAACAAAGGCAATGAAATAAAAATACAGAAAAGACAACAAATGAAGTATTGGAAAAGCATACAAGTGTAATGCACTAAAAACCTCTCGTTTTCTATGACCAACTTGCGTCTAACAATTGCATGACCTGAGGTTATCGAGCATGACAAACCAGCTACGGACACAACTTTTCCAACAACATCTACAGTTAAAGAGTTTGTCAAAGATAGTTAGATCCTCAACTGTAATGGTGGAATCGAAACGAAGATCATGAATTTAAAGTAGTTTGGTAGATAAACCTATTAGTTGGTTCGGTGAACGTGGCAAAGAACACAAGGAATTGAAGGCAACAAATTCAAACGAATTAGTACAAAAACCAAGCGACACCATGGTCACATCATCAAATGTGGTTTCTTGAGAGAAAACCAGATTTAATGTATGGGAGCAAGGACGGCACATCGGTTCTGACTGCTGCAGAAGGAATCTACCAACTAAATACACACATCCCAGTTGCAGGATTACACCAAAATAGGCAGCTAAATCTGCTGTGGTGATAGCTTGAATCAATGTTCCCTGTGAAAATATGCAGCAAGCGAAGCAATAGCGATATTCAGTATCCGAAATACAATCGGGCAAAAAGAAAGACTGAAACAAAATAGCATTTTACCTGCGCATCGGTCCAGAGACTGCAGTATGGATTTTTTAGGTCGCAAGACACCCAAAGATGCAGGAGTCGTAACTTCAGAGTAGTTGGTAGGTCGTCAGCTTTATCAAGATCGAGAAGCAGCTTAAGAGTAGCCATCGGTTTTCTATGAGGAAACAGAGGAAGAACGCCAAAGTGAAAGTAAGAATCAGAAAGGTGGAAAGCAGGAGCGGTATTTCCCTGGAGAGGCAAATGGAAGGCTTGGAGAAGTACGATGCAGACACAGTAGAAATAAGGGGCAGAGGTAGACCAAGTGAATAAAGTTAGGAGCAAGAAAAGGATAGTATCATGCATAAGTGCTGGGCTAAAAGCCCAGATGCAAGAGCCAGGTTCTTTTTTATATGTGTTTTTTTCCAAGCGGCACATTTGCAGGTTTAAGCATTAGATGTCGTTACGGATGGGGAATCGAAACCCAAAAAGGACGTCTGTAATTTTGGACAAATGGCAGGTACACAAAATAATGGTACTTCTAAGAAGTTGTAATAAGCACAAGATCTTACGCTATGAAGAAACAGGATTAAATTTGTAATAACAGGCGATTCTCGCTTTAATAATAAGGATGTTAAAGATTACATATGGTGATTTGGAAAGGTGGTACCAGCAAGGGAATAAGTGTCATCGATTATAATTTTCAAACAACTGAAAGATCATAAAGTCCATAGTAAGCACCAATTGCCGAACTGAGTACCTTTGCTGCAGGGACATAAGAGATAAGGCATAATAGTGTTTGGGAAAAAAAACCAACGGTATACAAACCTAAACCATCAATGAAGGGCGGACTTAACGCCAGATAAGGTACATAGAAATCATGGTAGTCAAAACGTCTATCCCTCACCACATGCTTGAGGAACACATGACGTAGTGGATAAGAATAAAGGCGAGCAGAAAATTACTGTGCATTTCTCAGTGCATGATTTAGGACCTAAGTTATAGAAAGACATAAGTGCCTCCAAAATACCAAACAGACCTTTTGTTTTCAGTTAGAATACAACCAATACATCAAAATAAGCATTACATGGGAAGCCCATGCGCACAAACGTAGTTTTTCTTCAAAACAAATGACACAGGCAATGACATTCCTTTGTTCTGGTACAAAAAAACTGGAATGCACGAAATAGCAATGGAACTTATGTCTCTGAGGTCTGTGTTCACATCATTCTTCCTCAGTTAACCTGCTCAAGCACTGCTTGTTCTTAACACCTGAAATGATAGCAATAAAACTTATCATTGGTAAATGTCAAAGTCAGTTGTCTTAAGAATGGTAACTTCCTTTTCTAGGTGAAGTTTGTAACTCATGCTTATGTACCTTGTTTCATAAACTGCATTTTTTAGAATTGCAGTTTAAGTTTTAGCAATGGCTGAAATG